AATGAACATATTAATGAACACTTACTATGAGCTATTATTATTTTTAGCACCTTACGAATATTGATTCATTTAATCCTGATTTCTACCTATATGAAGGGTACTACTATTAGACTGTTAGTTCTGTTTTGCAGATGTGGAAACTGAGGTAACTTGTCCAACTATCACACAACGAGGTCATACTACTAGCAATCCTGATGGAGCCTGGATTAGAATCCAGGCAGTTTGACTCCAAAAACTCTACATGGGATAAATTCCCTATGCTGCCTTCTCCTGTGTGGAAAAATAGTGGGCACTCGATAAGTGCTCGTTGAAGGAATGAAAATTAATACATAGACAAGCTGCGTTGGTATTTCTAGGCTACACCCAATTTCCTAGAAGACCTCATGAGAGTTTAAGAGGTCACAAGAAATGATCAAGCAGCCATAATGTGAAGTGCCAAAGAACCCCAAACTGAGACACCAAGTTATGATGCTTGAGAGCACAGCAGTCTTGAAGCACCTGGTTGGCTAAAAGGAAAATCTTGAATGATGAATGGAGGGAGCACAAAAAACGTGGGATCCAAAGCAATGGGCAGTTTTCCACATCATTATAGCAGTATTTTGTAACAATTTCTTTGGCAACTGACAGCAGGCATTTAAATCAGCTATTTCCTCCTCAGAATTCCTCTCCAAAGAATAATAATGGCCTCTGCGACTCTGAAGGAAATGTAGCCCCTACTCGGATACAATCTTATCTGGGAAATTGCCATGGTATTCGTCACAGCTGTCACTGTGCTGAGCCCATTAGAGATGTGCTGAGTGGGGATCTACAGGGTTGTGTGTTCTGAGGGCTCTTGCTACACATTCTTCCTGGTTGACGCGGGAAAACAAAATAGCACCCAACGTTTTAGGGGCCAGAGTCTTCTCAGGACTGGGTGGGCAAAAGAGAGCCATTCATACAGCCCTCAAGGAGTTACTCTATGGCTCAGGTTGTAGATTTATAAAGACATTTGCAGTGACACCAATAGGAAGGGCAGAACAGAAGAAAGAGCATACAGAGAAAGCCCAGCTTTCTATTTCTTTAATTGGAGAGCATGTGGGGAGCTGAAGACCTAAGAAGTTGGGGTAGGAGGTTAACATCGGAACCTTGGACTGGAGTTCTTTTCAGTCTGTTTCAAGTAAACAACAGGCGGTTACAATTTCTATTCTTCTCATGTAGAGAATGTTAGAGCTGGGGGGGGTGGTCTAACTCCTTCTCCGTGATATGTAATTTAAGAAACAGGGCCCAGAAGTATAAAGCCACTGACTGGGGCCCCACATTTAGCAGGCAGCAGGACCCACGATGCCTGGATTAGGGCCAGTGGGACTTTTCAAGTTTGGTTTTGTAAGGGAATGCTCCTGCAAATCTAACATAAGGTTTCTTGATTTAAAAAAAAACCAAAAAACAAAAAAACAAAAACTCCAAATCATATTCCCTTTTAATATTTAGTTTGTTTGCTTTTAACCCACAGTTGCCTTTATAAAGAAACAAACATAAAAATAGCCTTCCACTCAATATACCAGGGGAGATCATTTACTCTGATGTTACATTGTCCTAGAAACTAGCTTACTGCGCCATGTGAGTTACTTATTCCCAAAAAGTCGTTTATCTGCCTTGACTCAAAACGAGATCAGGCATCTCTGCCACGCACAGCACAGCGCAGCGATTTCTAAGCTAGACACTCTGGGACTCGGTATAACTTACTTTGTACGGACAGCATGCTGCCTGGGGCCCAGTGTGGTTCCCACCCATCCACCCCTTTCCTATCACCATAAGACCCTCTCTAGGTCCCTGAGGATTGTGGGCATTGTCCGGAGGCTCCACGGTTTTGTTTCTGTTTGTTTTTTCGTTGTTGTTGAGGAAGAGGAAATCGGCAAGGCTGGGAGAGGAGAGCTGAGGTAATGGGACACCTGTTACACGGCAACAGTTACGTAATTTACATAATCTCAGCAATATCTTGTATGTCTTCCCATCGGCTCGCTTAATGTCTATCCTACTCTCTTTCTCATGCTCTCATTTTGATTGAAGATGCTACATCTCCATTCCCACCTCCGCGCCTAACCCAGAACAAGCACTCAGCAGAAGTCCATGGACTGCCTGCATGAATGATTGGGCTTTACTTCTTTGCATCACCTCCTATTTCCCATCCCTCTTCTTTGCCAAGGCCAGTTGTAAGACAAACAGTAACAAAAGCAATGACTGAAATAGGGGCAAAATACTTAGCTTCTTTGAACTAGTTTTTATTTGATGATTTGGTAGGACTTTATCAAATCATGCCTGTGTTTCCTAAAACATTCTCTTTGCTATAACTCACGTACTAACCATTTTGCTTTCTGTGGGTCCATAAAATAATTTTCTCTTTGGTGGTAAATGAACCAGAGCAAAGGTCTGTGAAACTCTTCTCAAGTGCATAGTAAAGTGTTCTAATTACAAAGGCCCCTGAAGACTTATTGTTGATAAATGGCAACCTGACACATATATCCAGGGTAGGAAAAAAAAAAGTCACATTAGAATTATTAACACAGAAAGAAAAGGACATACCCTGTTTAACTTTTGTATTATATTTCCCTAGCTCACATAGTTTTTATTCTCTTTATAAAAAGTGTGTTTTGCATTTATAACCATGGATGTGTCATCAATCTTTTTATTTATACTAATATCATTATTTGCAATATATCATAATTAAGTATATCTCAACTGTACCTAATTATACCCATGTGTAACATGAAAAATGTTTCTGTATTAATTTAAAATTGTTTTTAAATACTACCTTTAATTTTTAAATTTGTATTAAAAGAGAGCATGGCAATATTCCAAGGCCAGTAAAATTCCAGCATGTATGTCTTAATTGAGACATGTGGGCCTATATGTGCATACATAAACAAATTTAAAGTTTCTCTTTATTTTTAAGCTTAATGTGATTAAATCAGTTAAGAAATAATCAGATGTCTTACAATCATATTCTACTGTTCAAACTGAAATGAAATATACCCCCTTTATTTAAAAAGTCTGCAGAACTGATTAAGTAGATGGCAATGTAATATCCATTACAAGTGCTTTTTCTGCCATCTAGTGGAAAAATGAAATCTGTGAGGATTCACAATTTACGTTTTAAATTCTATTGTCTTAAAATATTTGGCAAAGCCTTATTTGAAATCTCAAGAGAAGAAAACAAAACAATATATTCTCTCCCTGTTTCTGATTTGATCTGCCGGTGGACCAGATGTGGGTCATCCTCGGCATTCATTCCCCATGATGCCGAAGGGGCTGCCGACAATAATGTAGAGGGTGCTTCAGGCTTTCTGTAAAACTGGTGGAGGCCATGGGCTCCAAACAAAATACCAGCACAACTGCATTTATTGTCCAAGTGACAAATGATATCTCAAGTCCGTCCAACCCTTTCTGTTCCATACTCAAATCCTGTAAACTGGAGGAGAGAAGGTTGAGAGAGATGGCTTGTTGGACACTGTCTAAATCAGTGGCTTTCAAACTTTTTAAACTGCATCTCACACGTACTTGACATTGCAACTCATTCTGCGTACATAAAACAGAAGCCCACGTTCCACAAAGTAATAACCTTTCTATGCGATCACTCTATTTTACATTCTGTTCTGCTTTATTCTATTTCACTTATTTTGGTATTATTTTATAACATTTTAAATTGACTTCATGATTCACGAATGGGCCTGACGCTTGGAAAACACTGGTCTCCTAAAAACTCCTAAGAAGTTACCTCTACTGCCTTAAAAATATGTGATACTAAGTCTAAAATTATGACCAAATAGTTAAATAAAATAAGGTATGATGGACATTGGTTAATTAATACAAAGACCTTTGAGATCTTATCAGTTCAGGATATTTTATCAGATGACTGTTCTCTATCATCCTCTCTATCTCCCAGAATAGGAGGCTTGACCTCATTTTCATAAACACCTCTGTTAAGTCAGCCATCAAAGGATTCTCCTCATCAGTCTTGTGTCTTTGCTCTCTTTTCATCTTCATCTGGTTCAGACCCTTCCTGTTTTCCCCCTGGATGATTACAGAAGGTTCCATGCTGCTCTCCCTGACTCCATCTCTCACCCCTGTGAACCTTCCTTCACACAGCTTCGAAGACTTACCCTCCGCCTCACAAGTCAGATAAAATCATTCACTGCATCCTCTGCCTGAGGAATAACACCCGAGTGACTTAGGGTGACATTCAAGATCCTCCCTGTTTAGTGCTTTGCTGGCATTTACTATTTTAAACTATCTCATTAGGTTGCGAGCTAGGTCTTTATCTTTATCTCTTTTTAAGCATACTCTATTTGCCCCAGCAGGTGCTTAATAAATATTTGTGGAAGGCGCTGAAAGGAACTTCCTTTCTGACCTTCAGTTTTGTGCATGCCCTACATTCCAGTTGCCATTCTACTAACCATTCCCTGAACTCTTCTTTTATTAATTAATTCATGTATTTGTTTATTTTTAAAGAATGCGCATTTGCTTGAGCTTTTTCCTGAGCTGCCTTACTCTCTGTTTTCTGCCTACGGAAATTCTTTTCACCTTTCAAACACTAGCTCAAATGCCATCCCTTGCGAGAAACTCCCTTGGTCCCCAGCAGAATAAACTCCCACAGCTTGTTGATAGTAACCCCTAGTTTCTATTCAGAACTCATGCTCTCTCGTGCAGGTTTAGACGATGCTTCTCTGTGTCTATCTCACTTGATTGAGAACGTCTTGAAGGGCAGGGAAGATGCTTTGGGCATCTTTCTAGTCCTTAGTGGTATTCTAGGTCTTAAATATATGTTTGTTTTCTTAAACATACTTGTTGCATATATTTTTTTTTAAATAGGTAGAACTGGAGCCTGAGCCTGCTGGCAACCATTTTTAATACAGGCCAGCCAATCTTTGATGGGCTATTTTGGAGTATATACACAAGTTTCAGAGCAGCATTTGACCAAGATTTTTACTTTGAATTATCATTCTCCACCCCCCTCCCCCAAGGACACTTTGTTTCAGTGCATGGTGAGGCCTTCTCTGGGGGCCTCTCTTTGTGGACCCCAGCCAGAGGAATGTGCAGCCTCCAACCATTGTTCAGCCTCCTTAATGGTGGGCTGTGAGCACTGAAGGGGGCGGTACAGCATGAAGACAGAAACCAAAAAACCAAAAACTGTTTCAGTATCTGCTGGGCACGATGTCCTGCTGAGAATCCCAAGAAGTGGAAAAGCCAACTGCCACCCTGATACAATGAAAACCCTATTGAGTGGCCCTTTGTCATGTTCCCATAATAATATGTGCTTTTTTCCTGTCACTGGACTTCCTTCTTGTATTGCATTGTGTGTGTTTCCATGAGTTCGTTGTAGGTAGAAAGTCTCATTCATTTGTATATGCAGCAACTAACCTACCACCTGCAATAGCACACATTCAATAAATATTTGTTGAATGAGAATGAGAGACACAAAGAATTATAATGGATAAAGAACTATTAGATACGATGTCCATCTTCAAGGCACTTATGCACCTGTTAGAAAATAATTACCTAAACATTCTGACCATAATGTTTTACACTTAATAGACATTCAATACATGTTAATGAATTACAATTAATGAAATGAGAGCCAATTTCTATGTCCAAGAAAAATGCTACTTATCAAGAGGTCTAAGTGGCTGTTTCTGTCCTCTAGGAGAGAATAATCAAGTGTGAGGTAATAAAAATGTTCATAAATACATTACTCAGCAGTTGGGTTTCCTGCCAAATGTGTGTTAGAGATATCGCTAGAAGTTGGAATAGTCAGAAAAGACTTCCCAAAGGAGGAAGTTCTTTGTCAAGAACTATGAAAAAAGCTAAGATTTTACCCAATTTGCAAGCTGGAAAGTTAGTCTATCATTTTCATAGGTACTTGAAGAGGACACAAAACTCCTCGGTCAGAGATAAGGGACTTTATTACTCACAGTATAGCAGCCCATAGGGACTTTGTGTCCACACTGGTTCTCCTGGCCCTCCAAATCCTGTAGGACTGGCACAGAGCAGCCCAAGGGGGTGCAGCACACTCTATGGGTTTGTATCATAGCTGAGGAGCACTGAGGTAAGAAAACCCCAGTCTTACAAAGGGGCTGTTAGCAAACCTGTCCAATCTGCCCTGGAAGGCGACACTATCCTTCTTAACCTGTAAGAAAACAAATCTGTCCTTTCCCAGAAGGAGATCTCTCTCTGTTCAACGCTGTATGCTATACAAACACCCTTGAAAAAACAGCCCACACCAAAAGTTGTCAATGTCTTTACTAAGAAGATGGATACAAACAAGACATCCATGAAGAATGAGTTTCCAACAGTCTTACTTTCGTTCTTGAAGGTTGGGTGTGATTTGATCAAGCAATAGGAAGAGAACAGATATTCTAGGAATAAGAAAATTTTCCTGTGCACATATATATTTCATGACAGACCTCTCTGGTCCTCAGTTTCTTGACCTGTAAAGTTGGAATTCCTACTTCACAAGGTTGCTGTAAAAATTACATGAAGTAATCTATGTATGGCATCCAGCCTGGTGATTAACACATAGCAGGTGCCAAACTGTTACTTCTTCTCCACTTTCCCCAGAATGTACAGGATGTGACTCTGTAGCCTGCCCTGACACTGAGAAAGGAGTAAATGGAGGGACTTAGTCATTCCATTTGCAAACATTTTATTGAGCATCTACGATATTCCAAGTGCCAGGCTAGATACCATGCCTGCCTCTTGAAGCTTATTGTCCGCTTCAAGGGAAAAATACAGGAGAGTAGAAATATCTTGCTTCCACCAAGTAAGCTCGTAGAAGCTAGATGCCCAAGGTTTTAGGGCAATTCTATCTGACCATGAAGCCAGGGAATTATTGAGACATGGAAGGACCATAAACCTAAAATAAGAACAATGGAATGTCAAAGTTCAGTGATGGAATACACCATTCAACAAGCTTTTTCAGGATCTTTTTGGAAAAAGAATACTAATAACTGCAGCAAGATTTCATGTGAACATTATTGTCACCAATGTATGATTGTTACATCACTCATTTGGTAAATACGTGTTGAGCATTCACTACATGTATGGTGATAAGGGCAAGAATTCAAGAATCAAGAATAGGAATTTCCTTGAGGGTAAGATGGCCCCCAAGGGACAAGGGATTGATTTTTCATAAGTTGGTGTCAAAATTTATCTATATATAGATGGAGAGAAGTGTGAGAATCTGAGAAATACTGTGAATAAGGTGTTCAATTTAAAGTTAAGATTATTGATTCACTGAGAGGCACCTGGGTGGCTCAGTTGGTTGAGCATCTGGCTCTTGGTTTCCACGCAGGTCATGGTGTCACAGTTTATGGGTTTGAGCCCCACTTAGGGCTCTGTGCTGACAGAGTGGAGCCTGCTTGGAATTCTCTCTCTCCCTCTCCTGCTCTCTCTCACAAGTGAATTTTTAAAAAATATTTAAAAAAAAGATGGATTCATTGAACAATCCTAAATTACACCTTAATTAGGAGAGAAGGAAGTGGTTAAAATGCCTTTATCTATGGAGACAGTACACAATTATTTGCTATAGACTACATGCATCAAATATTTAATAGAATAAAATAATTCTTTTGAGAGATGCAAGAATTATAACAACCATCCCTACTTTGGGGGGGTGGGGCCTGATAATTTCACCACTATGTTAAGCCTATTTGATGCGTTAGAACGGTACATGAAGGGGCATCTCCAGTTGGTTTTGGTACTAGTGGTAACAGTACTTTGTGCTTACCTTGTTTCCAGTGCAGTGTAGACTGGATTCCACTTATTTGTTTAGCATCTCCCTACTGGACTAGACTGAAAAATGCTCCTGCCATTTGAGAGCTGAGTGATGGGGGCTTAACCAGGAGAAGTAAATTCTACCCGAAATGAGATGCTGAGGACAAAGTATGAAAGCAAAGCCAAAGGGAGCAGTGCTCGATCTTCACTTTTTATTATCGTGGGTCACAAGGCAGGCCTTAGCCAATGCTAAGACCTGGCCTCACAGTGGATGGCCGAGGGAAATGTTAGGTCCAGCAGTCAAATGATTCAAAACTCTCCAGCTGCCAATCTTACCCTCTCCCCTACTGCCCTGTGCTGTCCAGCTGACTACATCCCTTCATGTTAAATCATACTTCCAGGACTCGGCTCTCCCCAAAGAGGGAAGACACATCATTAGCAACATCTTAGCATGGATTCCTTTGTTCCAACCTGAGTCTGTGAGAGAAACAAGAAAGATGGCACAAAATGCTGGAAGTGGAATTAGAAAAGACTGGAGAAATCCCGAGGGAGAAGCATCCTCTCTCCTCCACACCTTGTTTTCCTTATGGGCTCCCTTGTTAACCAGATTTACTGCTACATCCCAACATTTTCTCCAACCCTTCTGAACTGATGAAAGTGACAGCGTGGGAGTCCTAATAATCCATCACAACAGCCCTCTCTCCTATTTGCATTGTGTTGGTGGCTGCTGCCTGGAAGGCTGGGGTCACACCAGTTTTCCCTGAGACTGCAGGGCTCCCACGGTCCTTGCATGGTAGCGTTTCAACCTAGCAACAGCGCAGGAGATCGTGACATCAGAGCACTTCCCTTCGTCTTTGGTCCACTGAAAACACTCTTCTCTTCCTCTCTAAACTTGGCCATAGTTGGTAAAGTCCTTTCTGTGTCTATTAGGTAAAGCCAGATGAGAGCAGGAATGGTGTACATCTGGGGCCAAAATTAAGCCTTACCAAATTCTCTCTCCCTGGCTACCCCTCCTCCCTCACCATGTTCTATATGCCGACTTCTGCCTGAGGTTTCCTTTAGCCAGCTGTTTGCTCCTATTTTACATGATGGTTCTCAGTGTTCAGCAGGAACAAAGATCACTGATATTCCCATCGGGTTTATCAGAAGCAACTGAGAACAATGAGCTCTTTTTATGTTGAAAATAGAGATTTTGAAATTATTCATAATCCTGCTTCTCCCAACACATTTCCATCCCCAATGGGCTCCTTTCACTAATTAGCTATGTAAGACTTTACACTCAATTAATCTTTTAGTTTTATTGGTAGGATGTCTTGATCTTCCTTCCTGTATAACTGTGAAAATAAAGAAAATATCATTTCAAATGGAGTCAGGAAGTCCAAAAGGGGGAGTTTTCACAGTCACTTGCCATAGGAAGCACAGCTCCACATTTCATTGTGGGCACCTAGTTCCTAGTTTTATGCAGAATTCTTAAACAGCTCTTCACTCTTGACTCAATGGAATGTTTGTACAAAAATAAGCATTTAGTGTGTTTCAGGTACATGGCAAAGAATCTTCCACACACGGTCTATGAGGTAGGGATAAATCCCCCTATTTTTCATAAAAGGACGCTGGATCTCAGTAGTAACTTGCCCAAAATCATGGCGCTGAACAGGAAACCAGGTGAGTCTGACGCCGAGAGATTGTAAGAACTGCAGAGCTTACACCATGTTGGGTTCTTCATTATGCTACAGCCTTGCACCTGTCAACTCAGCATTGTGGGGTGCCTCTGCTATGACACCAAAAACACTGACAACAGAAGAAAAAAATACCTAAATAAGACTTCATCAAAATAAAAAATTGTGCAAAAAACACTGTCAAGAAAGTGAAAAAACAACCCATAGACTGGGAAAAAATATTTGCAAATCATGTATCTGATAAGCATTATCATCCCGGAATGTAAAAAGAATCCACAGTAACAAAAACAATTGAAAATTGGGCAAAGGACTTAAATGGACATTTCTCAAAAGATATACACAAATAGCAAGTATATAAAAAGATGGTCAAGATAACAATTAGGGAAATGCAAATTAAAACCGTAATTAGTTACCACTTCACACCTATACAATGGCTATTATTTAAAGAAACAAAAACAAAGCATTGGCAAGGATGCAGAGAAACTGGAATCCTTGAACATTGCTAATGGGAATGTAAAATGGTACAGCCACTGTATGGAACAATATGGCAGTTCCTCAAAAAATTAATTCCACATTAAGCACAAGGTCCAGCAATTCTGCTTCTGGCTATATACCAAAAGGAATCAAAAGCAGGCACTTGACTAGATATTTAGATACCAATATTAAAAGCAGCATTATTCACAATAGCCAAGACAGAAACAACCCAAATATTCACTGGATGAATGGATAAACAAAATATGGTAGACATATTAATATGGAATATTTTTCAGCCTTAAAAAGGAATGAAATTCTGATACATAACGGAATATTTTTAATTTTTTTTTTAACATTTATTTTTGAGAGAGATAGACTACAAGCAGGGGATGGACAGAGAGAGAGAGGGAGACACAGAATCCGAAGCAGGCTCCAGGCTCTGAGCTGTCAGCACAGAGCCCAATGTGGGGCTCAAACCCATGAACCATAAGATCATGACCTGAGCTGAAGTCTGACCCTTAAACGACTGAACCACCCAGCTGTGTCTATAATGGAAGAATCTTGAAAACCTAACACTTAGTGAAAAGAGACATGAAAGGACAAATACTGTATGATTTGACTTATATGAGGTACCTAGAATAGTCAAATTCACAGAAAAAAGTAGAAAAATGTTCACCTAGAAAAATGGGCTAAAGGGAAGTGGGGAGTTACCACTTAATGGGTAGAATTTGTTTGGATAATAGGAAGTTCTAGATAGTGATGGTTGCACAACAGTGTGAATGTTGTTACTGTCACTGAACTGTAAAACCTAAAAATGGTTAAAATAGTAAATTTTATGTTGCACACATTTTAAAATATAAAATAAGGCAAGGGGTGCCTGGATGGCTCAGTCAGTTAAGCATCTGACTTTTGATTTTGGCTCAGGTCATGACCTTACAGTTTGTGGATTCAAGCCCCTTGTCGGTCGGGCTCTGTGCTGACAACATGGATCCTGCTTCAGATTCTCTCTCTTTGCCCCTCCCCTGTTCGCTCTCTCTCACACACACAAAAAAACAAACATGAAAAAAAATGTAAAAATATATATACATAACATGTGGCTTAGGGCACCTGGGGGAGGAGCAGAGACACACAGAATCCCAAGTGAGCTCCAGGCTCTGAGCTGTCAGCACAGAGCCTGACGAGGGGCTGGAACTCACAAACCAGGAGATCATGTGACTTGAAGTTGGACGCTTAACCCACCCAGGGGAAGCCTAGGCAATGCTAATATAGCTATCTCCTTTAAGTACCAGGAGAAAAATATTCCATTTCATACCTCAAGCCTGATTTTACACTGTAAATTTAGTCTGCCCTTAAATAGTCTTCATTCACATGTAACTAATCAGCATCTAAATATAAGAATACCTACAGAAACACAAGTTGTACACACAAAAGCATAAACTAAATCAAAAGTACATGCCAATACCACCAAAATGGTTTTATTTTTGTCACTGACAACATGTATAACACTGCCAATTGTATCATTATAATTTGTTTTGATTTTGTTAAATAGTACTTAAGTATGCATTAAAAATATATGTTTACATTTAAGTGTAACACATTAAAGTTCTTTGTAAACATACTCAATATATTTTCCTGCTTTGTTTCATACATAAATAACTTAATCTACAAAATCATAAATAAAACTATTAACTCTTGTGGCCTAAGTGTATATACAAATTTTGGAGCCTGACAAATGTGTTCTCTTTATGATTTTGTAAGTAACAACATGCAATATATGCAGTGTTTATTAACAAATAAATGATTTAGCATCACAAGTCGTTATTGTCTCCCAACCAGGTTCTGCCAATAGACCTTCCAGTGCCCTTGGTAAAGAGGTTATCCACTTACAAAGTCAAAATAATTAAAAGATGAGATTTTTACAACAGTACAGAGGTTGCCACTTAGATACTACTAAGCCTTACTTTGTCTGAAGAAAAAAGCTGCTAGAGTAAATGCTTGTACTATCATTTAAAAGAATGCTAACAAAACCTAAAAGAAGATCAGATTAAAATATTAGTCTTGGGGAAAATATCCCATTGAGATTCTGTTACAGGAGCAGAATTAACACTATTGTAAATTTCCCAAAATTTATTTTGAACCATCACTTTGATTCATTAAAACTTTCAGGGAAAAAATAATGACACAAAAAAGTGACCTTAGAAAGTTGATACTTACAATTCCTGATATAGAACATTTGATTATTTACTTTTTGTTTAATGACTGCAAATATGTATTCCTTCAGAAAATATCATATTTGTTGAAAGATACTTCCTCTTTAGTGATTTATTAGATAACCACTCAAATTTTTGTTCTGTAATAAAATTAAAGAATTTTGCCTGTTGGAAATGTTTCACTACGCTTTATTTTTCTAGGCCATCATGTTTAGAGTATAAAACTTAGAAAAAAATATTGTCAATTAATATTCTCATTAAATGTAAATAATCCAAATGACAAATAAAACTAAGCACTGTCATTACTTTTAAAATCTAAGTTTCTAAGTTTTATCTTTCAGTCAATACAAAAACAATCTGGTTCATACTATTAACTGCCAGAAAAACTTCTGTTTAAAAAACTAAATATTCTTTGTTAAAGAGCAGATGAAAACAATGATTTCCATGCTCTTATAAGAAAGATTCTGATATACCTAAGTCTAAATCAAATCCATAAATAAGGTGGCTGAAATTCTGTCAACTTTTAACCCAATACAACATGAATCCACGGTTATTTTGCATAAACAATTCAAAATTAAATTTTATAATGGAAATGTCAACAAGTCATAACTACTACATTACTTCTGATGGGCTCCACTATACTTCAACCAGGCACAGCAGATGTGCACATCTGATAGACAGACTGCTTAGAAAATTAAAGCTATCAGAGCTATAAATAAGGAATACATAAATATGAACCAGCATTAGAGCTGTTAAAAAAAAGTAAGATGTGATGTAAACACATCTGATAGTTCTCTCTGTAAGCCATTTTCCACTGATTTATAAAGCTATGGTTTTAGAATTCTTTTAAAAAGGAAAATGTTTCTACACTGCTGCATGCAGTAATTTCATTGTACATTCTTGACTACAATGCAATCTTCAAATCCTCTTGAAGAGCCTGACATATCTCATCAGGATTTCTCCAGAAAGTCAGCTTGTCGCATTTTCAGCAGCCTAGAACAAGAAAGTAAGTTTCATTATAATAAAATCATGGAAAAGACACCACAGAGATATATTTGTCAATACTGTACTGTCATTAACAAACAATTCCTCCCCCACATATACCAAGCCACTTGCATCAGGATAATGCAGTGTTTTTCACTTTTTGCAGTACATTAGAACTACCTTTTGAACTGACTGCTAGGCTAACAGTGGAAAATTGTTATATCATCTTAATGCAGTTAACGTAAAAATAAAAATATACTGCTACTTGAAAAACTGACCCACAGCAGACCTTGTCCACACACTGTATCCACCTTATCCAGTCTTTATTGGTTTATCTGTTTCTGCATGTTTCATTTTAGTGTGAAAAGGGGATTAAGAATGGAAAAGACCTTTCTGTTACAGGACAGAGAAAAAAAGGGCAAAAGGAATACTGAACACATGGCTAATCCTGCTTCACCTATTCCACCAACTTGTATACTTTCCCCGATTATTCTGCAGGAATTTCCAGACACTATATTATTATCAGTAAATGATTTGATACAGATTTCTAAAAGATAAAAATTTAAACAAGTAATTTCTTAATTCCAAATATGAAAATGATGATTTTAAACAAGTGTTTCAAAAATACAGGGTAAACTTGTAATTCATGTATGTTTCAACTTCATAATTAAAACTTGCTTTTATGTTTAGTCTAAGTCCGAAGGCCTTTCATGAAAATCACTTAACGTGCTGGGAAAATTGTAGTTCTCAATCTGAAACCTTCTCTCTGCAATCAACAGAACCTACCTCGTCCAGATAGTTGGCTATTCTAATTAGCCTTTCGCTTCTTTAGGTTTATTATTCACAAGGATTAGAAAACTAGTTTGAAAAACATTCCCCTTATTCTAAAAGATTTCTTACTTCTTTCTACCTTTATAGGTTCTTATATTAGTTTTAGCTACATACCTTTAGGCACTTTGTCTTCTTCCTAACCCACTTTTTAGTATCATCTACTTCAAAGAAGACTTGAAATAATATAGACAACTACAGAAATTTTTAAAAATTAAAGTACCTTTAACTTTTTGTCCAGCCGCATTCCATTTTCATACGAATTTTAGAGATTCTCCTCCAAGATACAGACATTGAAATAAGTATTTTCACCTAAACTAAGCAAACCATTAACCCTGTACAGCATTTCTATTACATGAATGTAGCACTACTCTGTTTGAAAGGACAGTAATGGCATCCTAGAGAACTAGTTACCAGATTGTCATTAGAGACTCCAAAATCTCGTAAGCATTGGCCCTGGGGAAAAACCAACCTTAACAAGTCTTGTCTTTCACACTTCCCTTTCCTGTGTACATTTATTCCCTCCTTTGGGAGGATGGGTGGGGACACAAGACTTATTGAATCCCTCATTTCTCTCCCAGCTGTCTCCAATGTCCTCATGCTGTACAAGACGTTCATACAGTGAGGAGACACGTCGGTCACCCTAAGATATCATCATACAGGACAGCTGCAAGAGAAAGGGCAAGGCTTATTCTGCATAGGAATGCATCAACAGTACAATTCAAGGCCCCTTGGCACTAAAAGTAGAAGATACAGGAAAGTAGGTTTTGCCCAGAATTTCTGAAATCACAATGTGTGAATAATTACTTACACATAAATACTAGCTCTAAGGAGACAACACCAAAATTCAGTGTTGATAGATCATTCATAAAAATAAAGTCTATTTTTTAAAAACTGCACCTAATGTCCTATCTATGCTGTGAGAGATACACATAATGTGACATATCTATTGATGCTTAAGAAACGGACCTAATTGTGTTACACACAACCAGTTACTTTTACTATAAATGACTTAAACATTATCAATATACAAATCTATGAGAAAGAAAGGCAAAATAATTAATGAGGAATGGTTGCAATTTTCTACAGTTAACTAAAGAACAAAGGAAAAACTGGATGTTTCAGACCAACAGCTCCTTGCAACATTTCAGGATGTCCTCGATTTATATTTTACACATTCTAAAATAGAGTTAAGTACCATACAATTATATTCTAATCACCAGGATTTCAAGGTAAAGGCAGTAAAACACAATAGGAACAGTTTTTCCTTACCCTATTTTTAGTTCTGAAAGAAAAGTATGGGAGAAATTAATTACTAGCAACCACCCAAAAAGGGGAAAACAACCATACATTTAAAAAGTCTATAAAGATGGGGCGCCTGGGTGGCTCAGTCGGTTGAGCATCTGACTTTGGCTCAGGTCATGATCTCACAGCTCATGAGTTCAAGCCCCACGTCAGGCTCTGTGCTGAAAGCTCGGAGCCTGGAGCCTGTTTCAGATTCTGTGTCTCCCTCTCTCTGCCCCTCCCCAACTCATGCTCTGTCTCTGTCAAATATAAACAAACATTTAAAAAAAATTTTAAAAGTCTGTAAAGAGTAAAGAGTGGTCAAGGAAAGACAGGTGTGGTTCACATTATTTTTAAAGTAGCATACCATCTAGAATGGTATTTGCCAAATATCACTGGTTATCTTGTGGGTGGTTCTGAAGGATTTGTTTCCTTCTTTAATACAAATTATATACAGATTTCAAAAATGCCTTTAAAGAAAACATGAAAAAGTTCTAATTAACAATTTTCTTCTTTGCTACAAACTTTTTAGGATTCTCCTCCCGGTTTTTTTTTTTTTTTTTTTTTAAATATTTATTTTGAGAGAGAGAGAGAGAGAGACAGAGAGAGAGGGAGGGAGAGAGCATTTGCCTGCAAACAGGAAGGGGAAGAGAGAGACAGGGAGAGCCAGAATCCTAAGTAGATTCTGCACGGTCAGTGTGGGGCCAATGCAAGGCTCGAACTCATGAACTGTGAGATCATGATCTGAACTGAAATCAAGAGTTGGACACTTAACCAACTGAGCCACCCAGTGCCCCAAGTCTGAATAGATTTTATAATTATTTAAAAACCTGACTAAAAGAACTTAGTAATCTTACATGCACAGTTAACAAAAGGTTCACATTCAGAATACTTAAGGAAAGACTACCAGTAAAAAAGGGAAAATAAGCCAGAAAAAATGGGCAAGCAACTTGAAACGGTTATCTCGCAAAAGAAAATGGCCAAAAATATGTAAGAACATTCAACCTCACTGGTATTAGAAGAAATGCAAATAAAACCATATAAGAAACCTACACATACCCAGCAAAAATGACTAAAATTAAAAACACTCCCAATATTAAGTATTGACAAAGACGTGGAGCAAGGAAGGGAAATTCGTATGCTGCTGCTGGAAACAGAAATTAGCACAACTACTTTAGAAGAGTTTAGCATTATCTATTCAAGTTGAAGATAAACATAACCTAACAACCAAGAGACTTTATTTCTAGAATACACACCCAAAGGAAATGCATGCATATATGCATCACGAGACATGGACAACTATACTCATAGCAGCATATTCCTAATAGCCTCACACTGGAAGCAATCGAATGTCCACACAAGGTAGAAAGGATAAATAAATAGTAGTATATTTGTGTAATGAAGCATGATTATTCCAGTGGAAAGGACTGTGTTACAGCTACACACAACATAAATGACCCTCACATGATCCTACTCATAAGTGGAATCCAAAAAAACAAAAACAAAATCAGAATCAGACCTATAAAAAGTGAACAAACTGATGGTTGCAGAAGGGAGCAGGGAGGCAGATGGGCACAACGCGTGAGGGGAGAGGGAGAGACAGGCTTCCAGTTACAGAATGAATAAGTCACAGGAATAAAAGGCGAGGCATAAAGAAATATAGTGATGTCATGGGACAGATGGCAGCTTTTGATAAACATATAACATAATGTATAAACCTGTCAAATCACTAAGTTGTACACCTGAAATTAATGTAACATTGTATGTCAACTATACTCAAAAAAACCAAAACACAAAAACTCTCTCAAACATGTTAAATGGGGGCGCCTTGGTGGCTCAGTCAGTTAAGCCTCTGACTTCAGCGTGGGTACTGATCTCGTGGTGCGTGGAGTTCAAGACCCGTGTCGGGCTCTGTGTTGACAGCTCAGAGCCTGGATAGAGCCTGCTTCAGATTCTGTGTCTCCCTCTCTCTGCCCTTCCCCTGCTCATGCTCATGCTCCGTCTCTCTCTCAAAGATAAAGATTAAAAAAAACCATAATGTTAAATGAAGAACTAGGTAAAGATTGTGCTCTAAGATTCTCTTTATATCAAGCTCGAAAATTTTATAAAATTAGCCTGTAGTGTTTAAAGACCCATGTTAGACAGTAAAACTGTTCAAAGAAAGTATCTACCATAAAAGTCAGGACAGTAGATACTGGAAGGGGAACAGGACACGTTAGTGATGGGGGAGCTCCCAGGAACTTCTGGGTGCTAGCAGTGAGAACTGTACAGATAGTCTCTTTATGATAAATTTTTGCTCTGTGAATATGCTCTGTTTACCTTTTTGTGTTAGTTTCCTTCCTAAAGAACCCTAGCCTTCTTTCATTTTGTCCCGGTTGCTTTCAGTCAGGCTGGCAGTGTTCTGTGCACAGACAGGTGACTGCATCTAGGAGTCATGCACATAATCTCCTTACCACATCCACACCCTGGGCCTTCTCTCCAGAGCATGCTCTGGGGTAAGGCTGATAATTTTCCAAATCAAGTGGTGGTTCCTTTTCACTTACCAGTTCCTTCCTTGATTTCTCATTCCTCTTATATTTTATTTTTCAGTAGCAAAGGAAAAATCAGACTGCACTTTCCACACTTTGCTAGGAAATTTCCTCTGCTAGCTATCCAAGTTCATCACTTACAAGTTTTATTTTTCTTCCAATAGTAAAACATAATTGAGCCAAGTGCTCTGTCACTTTATAGCAAGGACAACCTTCCCTCCAGAGTTCAATAATATGATCCTCATGAGGTCTCACCCGAAGCCCCTTTAACGTCCGTTATTTCCAGCAACATTCTGTTCATAATAATGTGTGTATTCTCTAAGACAAATAAAGCTTTCTGTACAGCTCTCCTCTCTTTTCTGTGCCCTCACCAGAACTGCTTTTAATGTCCACAGTTCTACCAAGTTTTTTCAAGGAAATCTGGGCTCTATTAAGTGGTGTAAAATTTTCCCACCTCAACCCATCACCCAATTCCAAAGCCACTTCCTCACTTGTAGGTGTTTATTACAACAGCACCCCACTTTCTAAAAGTGAAATCTGAGTTAGATTTCTAGAGCTGCCATCACCAGGTTCCAAACAAACTGGGTGGCTGAAAACAACAGAGATTTATTTTCTCACAGTTCTAAAGGCTAGAAGTCCAACATCAAGGAGTCAGAAGGCTCTAGCAGAAGATCCTTCCTTGCCTCTTCCTAGCTTCTGATGGCTGCCAACAATCCTTGGCCACCACTCTCATCTCTGCCTCCACTGTCCAAAGCCATTCTCCCATGTCTGTCTGTGTCTCCACATGGCACTCTTTTCGTGTATCTTGGTCCAAATTTTCCTTGTCTAATAAGAACATCGCTCATTAATCCATTATGAGCTCACCTTAACTTAATTACACCTGCTGATACACTATTTCCAAGTAAGGTCACATTCACAGGTACCGGCCTTGAACATATCTTTTTGGGCACAGACACAACGTTAGTCACAACACAAGGAAAATTCTAAACACAGCTGGAGACTTCTGTGAGAGACAACATGGTCCACGATAGTAGCAATTTTTGTAGTTGAACATATGCTACAAAGATCCTGGTTTTCAGAATTTCTAATGGTGACAGAAGTTAGTTTAATAACATTTAACTAGGATCTTTCACATAAATCCATTAAAAAATAAAAAAGTATTTTTATTTACAACGAACTAACATACAAATCTCTAACCTTTAGTGCTTCAGTGGCCTTGCGAAGTTCCTTAATAACCGACGATAAAGCTTCTGGGTTAATTCCTTGTTCACAAAGACGTACACAAATAGACAGAGTTTCCATATCTAAGCCAGTATTCAAAATTCTTGAAATTTCCAACAGAACTGAAAAAGACATTGAGAAAACTTCAAAAAAATTACATTTAAAAATATGCACACATTACTGTTTTTAATTCATAGAATACTGCACAATATCAAAGAACTAGCAGAGCATCCCTAGATTTTGAAATTGTCAAGTATACTGTCTTGCTCTTACTTAGTCCTAGAACCAAAACTAGACTTACACCACCCTCCCTCCACATAACTAACTGCATTTTACACTGTGATTTATATTCTACCACTCACTTAATATCTTAAGTATATGCATCATAATCAGGATTATTCTGAACATTTCCCCATTTTTTAGTAACCTTTTACAATGTAATTTAGTCACATAACATCCCATTATATGAAAACACCATACATTACTTAGCTACTCTATTTTAAGAGTTAAGTGGGTCACATGTTTCCCCCACTGAAGTAATACTGTGATAAGCATCTGTACATACTAATTTCATTTTATTAGGATAAATTCCTAGAAGTGGAATTCAGTAATGTACATATTTAAGGCTTTAAAAGTGGTTAGAAGCATCTACAATTTGACGGAATCATGTCTGTTGAAATCTAGTAGTAAAAAACAAAAGTTTATTTTTTAACTTCATTTTTTATAGTTACTTCATTTTATTGTAGTTTATAAAAGTAATTGACATGAGAAACATTAGCAAAAAGCAGCACAGAATATAAATACATTGGCTTCATTAAATTTTGTTTTATGGTGGTTGTTCCCCAGAGCATGTTTAGAATTTGTTAAGTCAATGGTCAACATATTATCTATTGCTTCCTGTATTATTTTCTCTTGGCATTATATTTAGAAGGTTATTCCCCATGCAAAGATTATAGAATTATCCATCAGTATATCCTTCCATCACTTCAAAGTTTATTTCCTGCCCACCTATAAACATTTAAATATTTAACTCCCTGGAGTTCGGGTGGAAAATAGGATCTGAAATAAGTTCACTGCCTCAATACTATTTGTTGAGTGACTTATATTTTTACCATTCAATTAAGATGCCACCTTTATCACATAGTAAATTCCCATTTACCTATGGATTTGTTGCATGTCTATCTTATTTAATTACTAACTTTTATCAGCATGTAGAAGGTTCAAGATTCTTTGTAATCTTTCATTTTTGTAAGCTTTTTTGTTCTCTCAGTGAACTTAAAAATCCTGATCAATTCCAAAAACAAACTCCAGGTGGATTCTGACTTGCATTGCATAAAAACTACGGTGTTGAATGGACAAGTTAACAATACTGAATGATCCATTAAGTCAAACTCCTTCTGAAAACTATTACACTATTCACAATGTGCATGAAATGGACCCTTTTCACCTTTTTATATCAGACATTCATTTTCATCTCCAGAATTTCAAGTTTTAAAAAAAAAAAAGTCTCCCATGCCTCTAATTAATTTTTTGAACACATGGAGTACAGTTCTAAGGTCCTTGTCTTGCTAATTCTAACTGTGTCAATTTTGGGTCTGTTTCAACTGATTCAATTTTCTCCTATCATTGGTTGCATTTTCCTGCTTTGTATACTTAATAATTTTTTATTAGATGCTTGACATTGTAAATTTTACCTTGTTGGTTGATAAGTATTTCTGTACATATTCTTAAGCTTTGTAATGAGATGCAGTTAACTGAAAACAGTTTGAGTCACTTAAGATTTACATAGTCCGGATTAGAGCCCTGTTTAGTGCACAGCTAACTGTTCCTCATCACTGAGGAAAGATGCTCCTGAGTACTATACTCAATGCCTCGTGAATTATGAAGCTTTCCATTCTGGCTGGTAGAGAGAAGCCTTGTATAAGCATGGTGTACTGTTCCTTCTAATTCTTTTGGATGCGTTTTCTAGCTTTTTGGGTACTTTCCTCATACATATGTGCTAATCAATGCTCTTCTGAATATTTGAGGAGGACCCTTCTCCTGATCTCCAGAATCCTCTCTCTGTAAGCTCTTTCCTCTCAGGTATTCTGTCTTGCAAACTCTACCTGCCTTGATCTCCCTGGACTCAATAACCTCCTTTTGCTAACTCAGGGGGTCCAAAGAGTTCTACCTGGGTTCGCAACACCCCCCAACTGCTGGGAACTCTCTAAAGGTTCCAAGAACAGGAAAGTACTGGGCTCACTTCATTTACTGTGCTTAGGATCACTTTCCTTCACAGCCTGATGTCCAGTGTCTTGAAAACCATTGTTCTGTATCAGTTTTGTTGTTGTTTTCCAGGCAGGAGGGTAAATCCGGGTTGTTCCTCCACCATGGCTGGAAGCTGACAGCCCTTTCCATTTCATTTCTTCAGTCTGGATATGCCAACATACCAATAATGCTCTTCAGTTGTATGTAGGCTGTAATTCATGTTATGTTGAATTTATTTCACTAACTCTATTTTGAGATTTCTAATTTCCCCTCAGAATTGCTTGTTGTTTTTAAGTTTATCTGAACTTTTTAATGTTTATTCACTTTTTGAGAGAGAGAGAGAGAGAGAGAGAGAGAGAGAGAGACCACGCGTGCGTGCGCACGAGTGGGGAGCGGGGAGAGAGGGAGACACAGAATCTGAAGCAGGCTCAAGGTTCTGAGCTGTCAGCACAGAGCCCAACAAGGGGCTTGAACTCAAGAAGCCCTAAGATCATGAGCTGGCTGAAGTCAGACGCTTAGCCAACTGAGCCACCCAGGCGCCTCTATTTAACCATTTTTGAAAGACAGAGCAGGAAAGAGTGCAAGTAACGGTGGGGAGTGGGGGTGGGGGTGGGGGTGGGCAGAGAGAGAGGGAGAGAAAAGAATCTCAAGCAGGCTCTGCCCAGTCAGCAAGGAGCCCCAACGTGGGGCTATATCCCATGAACTGTTAGATCAAGACCTGAGCCAAGATCAAGAGTTGGGACGCTTAACCCTGAGTGACCCAGTGCCTCTGCTTGTTATTTCATAGTTACATGCTTTTTTATAACCACTTATTTCATGACTGTTGTTTCTGCCTTTACCTATTTGAAAGTATATTTTTATCTTTGGCCATTTTTGAGATTTGTGTTTTCTGTTTCTTTAAGTATAAGCCAGCAGGAAAAGAGAATGCTTAAGTGTCTGCTCTCTAGAGGCTAAGTACCTCTTAGGTGAGTTCAAATGTCACCTTCATTACTTAGTAAGCAAGGCAACCTTTCTATGCCTTTATTTTATCATTCTGTGAAAGTGGGGTAATAATACTTTACAGGATCATTGTGAGGATTACAGGACATACTTCAGAACGCCGTGTCCACTGGCATCTGGTAGTGCTCAAAAAAAGAGTTACCTGTTACTACTAAACTTTCTCCCTCTTTTTCAATTTGTATGTGAGTTGTTTATGTTTTTCATCTACCTTAGGTACTTCTGTGACTTCTGGTTGGAAGCTCATCTTCCAAAGGAGATCTTTATTGATGTCCTGAATTGGAGAAGCATTCTTCGACCGGTAGTGTCACGCCAGCCCCAGCCCTCTGGATCAGACTGGTGGAAACACCCTGGCTCCAGACTCACAGGACACACGGACGGTCCTTCCCAATCCCTGGCCGTGGCAGATGGCACATTTCTGGCCCCAGCTTCTCTCGGGCAGGGCAGCATGCTTTGTCAGGTTTCATTCCCAATCTCCTGCTGTGGTGCCCATCTGCTCTTCTCTTTGGGGAAAACCTCTCTTTCCAACCAGGAGATCTTCCTTTCTTGTTTTTAAACATTGCTGGGCTGATAATTGCATGTTAGTATTATTTCCGGTCCTTTTTATATGCTTGGAGCAGAAAGTTTCGGCAAGTGCTCAATCATCATCAATTTTGATAGTGAATCATCAATTTCTTTAATTTTTAGTTTTGATTGTTTTCACAAATTCATTCTACCTTGCTTTGGTATATTCTAAGTGATTAGTGCAGATACCCATAATATGCTCGTAATACTTATTTTTATTTTGTAGCCAGTCATCTTTAACTCTACTGAAGTTTTTCGGTTTTCAGTTGATTCTCTTGTGTTTTCTAATAATCATTTTACCTACAAATAATAGTTTCACATCTTTCTTAACAGTCTTTTCCTTTTCTTATCCTGCACTATCTGCTAAAACTTTCCTATTAATGCTTAAAAAAAGCAGTGAAAGCAGGTATTTCTGATTTTATTTAGAATGCTTTTAACATTCATGTTAAGGATGACGGTGATTTCATATAGCTATCCTTTGGTGTAGCATTTACTGTCTTCTTTGCTAAGACTCTAAAATTAGGAAAAAAGTGTTGAGTCTTATGAATACCTTTTCAGCAAACACTGAAATAACCAGGTAGTTTTCCTTTTTACATAGCAAGAGAGTACATTATGTTGCCAGACTACAGTCACAGAAGAACAATAAGCATGGAAAATCCCTACTTTTACTGTAAGCAGTTAGCAAGCCTGCTCTTTACCTTGAAGTAGAATAGATGTTACCTCATTCCTCACATTGGTCACTGTAAACATTTCCCTGAGAAATAGCAGGAAGAAAGAACAGTCAGGGCCTTGCCTTCTTGGCCTCCAGAGCAAGAATGTGCAGGTATGCTCAGGTCTCATAGGCTGCATCTCTCAACAGCGATACTGCATGACTTCTGACACTAGGCTTAAAAAGATAATATAATTTCCTCCTGACTCTCTTGAGACACTCTCCCTGGCAACCCAGCCACCAACTGGGAGCAAACCCACATGTTCCAGACAACAGCCCTGCTGCAGGCCCAGCTAATAGGCAGTGTCAACTAGAAGATATGTGAGTGGGGCGCCTGGGTGGCTCAGTCGGTTGAGTGTCTGACTCTTGATTCCGGCTCAGGTCAGGATCTCACAGGTCATGAGTTTCGAGCCCCACGTCAGGCTCTGTTCTAACAGTGCAGAGCCTGCTTCAGATTCTCTCTCTCCATCTTTCTCTGCCCCTCCCCACCGCTTGCTTGCTCTCACGCTCTCTCTCTCAAAATAAGTAAACTAAAAAAAAAAAAAAAAAAAAAAAAAAAAAAAAAAAAAAAAATAGAAGATACATGAGTGAAGAAGCTTTGGGATG